TCTGCTGTATATGTTCAATAGCATAACTTGTTCTCTATGTACTCCTTTTGCTGTATCCCACAAAGGAGTGTGTGTGTGTGTGTGTGTGTGTCTGTGTGTGTGTTTGAGACAGAGTCTTAGTCTGTTGCCCAGGCTGGAATGCAGTGGCGTGATCTTGGCTCACTGCAACCTCTGCCTCACAGTTTCAAGCGAATCTCATCCTTCAGCCTCCCAACTAGCTAGGATTACAGGCATGTGCCAGCATGCCTAATTTTTTGTTTTTTTTAGTAGAGATGAGATTTTGCCATGTTGCCCAGTCTGGTCTCGAACTCCTGACCTCAAGGGATTCACCCACCTCATCCTCCCAAAGTGCTGGGATTACAGGCATGGCCACCGTGTCCAGTCCCTACAAAGTTTAATAAGCTGTGTTTGCATTCATTTATTATTTATTTATTTTGAGACGGAGTTTCACCCTTGTTACCCAGGCTGGAGTGCAATGGCGCGATCTTGGCTCACTGTGACCTCTGCCTCCTGGGTTCAGGCAATTCTTCCCCCTCAGCCTCCTGAGTAGCTGGGATTACAGGCACGCGCCATCATGCCCAGCTAATTTTTTGTATTTTTAATAGAGATGGGGTTTCACCATGTTGATCAGGATGGTCTCCATCTCTTGACCTCGTGATCCACCCGCCTCAGCCTCCCAAAGTGCTGGGATTACAGGCGTGAGCCACTGCGCCTGGCCTATTTATTTATTTTTGAGATGGAGTCTTGCTCTGTCGCCTAGGCTGGAGTGCAGTGGCACAATCTCGGCTCACTGCAACCTCCACCTCCCTGGTTCAAGCAATTCCCCTGCCTCAGCCTCCCAAGTAGCTGAGATTACAGGCACATGACACCATACCAGGCTAATTTTTTTGTAGTTTTAGTAGAAACAGCGTTTCACCGTGTTGGCCAGACTGGTCTCAAACTCCTGACCTCAGGCAGTCTGCCCACCTTGGCCTCCCAAAGTGCTGTGATTACAGGCATGAGCCACTATGCCCAGCCATTCATTCATTAGATAAAATAGTTATTATGAGATTTTGAGGGCTGCTTTTTAACACAAAAGGAAATATTTTTTACAAAGAAAAAAACTAGTTTTTAATTGCCCTTGAAACTGCTTTCATCCGTGGGTCATTCAGAAGTGTGTGGTTTAATCTGCAAGTATTTTGAGGTTTTTCAACTGTTTTTTTGTTACTGATTTTTAGATTAATGTCATTGTAGTCTGAGAGCATATTTTATATAATTTTTCTTTCACGTTTGTTAAGGAGCTTTTTTTTTAATCTGCTGTGACCTTCTGGATAAGGTGTATTTTATGTCCCACAGTGTAGTCTGTCTTATCTTGGTGACTGTTCTTTGTGAACTTGAGAATTATGTGTATACTGCTGTAGTTGGATGAAGTATTCCATGGATTTCAGTGAAATCTGTTGTTTGGTGCTACTCAATTCACCTGTGTCCTTCCTGTTTTTTCTTTTTCTTTTTTTTTTTTTGAGACAGTCTCACTGTGTTGCCCAGGCTGGAGTGCGGTGCTGCCATCTGGGCTCACTGCAACCTCTGCCTCCTGGGTTCAAGCGATTCTGCATCAGCTTCCTGAGTAGCTGGGATTACAGGCATGTGCCACTACACCTGGCTAAATTTTGTAATTTAAATAGAGACAGGGTTTTACCATGTTGGCCATGCTAGTCTCAAACTCCTGGCTTTAAGCAATTCCCCTTACCTCGGCCTCCCAGAGTTCTGGGATTACAGGAGTGAGCCACTGCTCTTGGCTTGTGCTTCCTGTTTTTTCTGCCTACTGGATCTCTTAATTACTGATAGAAGGGTGTTGGAATCTCAACCATAGTCATGGATTCATGTATTTCTCCTTGTAGTCCTATCAGATTTTGCCTTGTGTATTTTGAAGTTCTTTTGTTATACACATATACGCTAAAGTTTACACATAGATTCTCTATGTCCTCTTAGAGAATCAACCCCTTGGCCAGGTTGGCTTGTGCCTGTAATTTCAGCACTTTGGGAGGCTGAGGCGGGTGGATCACCTGAGGTCAGGAGTTCCAGACCAGCCTGGCCAACATGATGAAATCTTGTCTCTACTAACAATACAAATTAGCCAGGTATGGTGGCACATGCCTGTAATCCCAGCTACTCAGGAGTCTGAGGCAGGAGAATTGCTTGAACCTGGGAGGCAGCGGTTGCAGTGAGCCAAGAATGCACCACTGCATTGCATCCTGGGCAACACAGAGCAAGACTCCATCTCAAAAAAAAAAAAAAAAAAAAGGGGGAATCAAACACTTCATCATTGCAGAATACCCTACATTATGTTTGTAAATGTTCCTTGCTCAGAAGTCCACTTTGTTTGAAATTAATAAAGTTTTGCTAGGTTTTCTTCGATTAGTGTTAGCATGGTATGCCATTTTCTATTACTTTACTTTTAATCATCTGTGTCTTTATATTTAAAATGTGTTTCTTGGCCAGGCACAGTGGCTCTTGCCTGTTAATCCCAGCACTTTGGGAGGCCAAGGTGAGCAGATCACCTGTGGTCAGAAGTTTGAGACCACCTGGCCAGCGTATAGTGAAACCTCATCTCTACCAAAAAATATAAAAATTAGCTGGGTGTGGTGGCACACACCCATAGTCCTAGCTACTTGAGAGGCAGGAGATCACGTAAACCTGAGATGAAGAGGTTGCAGTGAGCCGAGATCATGCCAGTGTACTCCAGCCTGGGTGACAGAGTGAGACTCCATCTCTTAAAAAAAAAAAAAAAAAAAAAACCAAAGAAACAGTTTCTTGTAGACAACATATAATTAGGTGGTTTTCTTGTAGATAATTTTGAATTTTCTTTGTGACTTTGTCTTTGACTGTTTTCCTGATTTCATTTTTTTCCCCTTAACATATCAATTATACTTTTTTTAAAACTATTTTAATGATTGCCCTTGAGTTTGCAGTATACAATTATCTCAAGCCCTCTTGCTAGCAATCTTAGACCACTTCACTGGTTGCCCGAGTAACTCATAATAGAGTATTCCCAATTCCCCTCCCTTACAACAGTGCTGTTACTCATTTCACTAATCCATAAGCTGTACTTACTGAATGTGCTGTAGCTATTATTACTGTGAACAACCTGTTATCTGTCACATTAACCGAGAATGAGAAAATGATTATATTTTACTTCCACTTATGCCTTCCCTATTGCAGAACTTTCTTTGTCATTTAACTTCTTTCTGATGAATTTAGCATTTCTTGCAAAGTGGGTGTACTGGTGACCAAGTGAGTCCCTCAGTTTTTGTCTCAAAGTATTACACATTCATTTGAAGGATGATTTTGCCTGATACAGATTTTTTCTTTCAGAACTTTCACTCTACTTTCTCCTTGCTTGTACAGTTTCTAAAAAGACGTTCAATTTAAATCATCCCTTTTGTCTAGAGTGGCTGGGGAATCACTTCCTTCTTAAATTGGAGAAAGGGCATTTTATATTCTTTCGGAGGAAACCTGCTGAGAATCTTTTATACATTTTATAATCATGGATAAATTCATCATATCATTGTGGACTGTAATGCACTTTCTTGTAAATTGCAAATCCTAACCTGTTTGTCAAGGTCAGCAAAGCCCAAGGTTAATTGTAATGGTTCTGCTGGAAAGAGCTCTTTTGGCATTTTGCCATCTCAGGATGTGTGCATGTACTTGCTAAAAATTGGTGGGATGTACCCCTGAGGCTCAGAAGCATAGAGATTTTGTGATCTAAAGTCAAGCTTTTTTCCTCATGCCTGAGCTCTAACTTCCCAGCAACTTAATGCCTCCATGAAATGGGACAGAAAGAATTAAGTCTCTGATAAATGTTAACACAAGTAAGTGAAAATAAATACTTCTCCAGGGTGGAGTGAAGTGGTGTAATCTCAGCTCACTGCAACCTCTGCCTCCCAGGCTCAAGCGATTTTTGTGCTTCAGCTTCCTGGGTAGCTGGGATTATAGATTCACACCACTACACCCACCTAAGTTTTTGATGGTTTTTTTTTTTTGAGGGGAGATGGAGTCTCATTCTGTCGCTCAGGCTGAAGTGCAATGGTGCGATCTCGGCTCACTGCAGCCTCCGTCTCCCAGGTTCACGTGATTCTCCTGCCTCAGCCTCCTGAGTGTTTCAGGCATGCATCACCACACCCAGCTAATTTTGTGTTTTTAGTAGAGACAGGGTTTCACCATGTTAGCCAGGCTGGTCTCGAACTCCTGATCTCAGGTGATCCATCCACCTTGGCCTCCCAAAGTGCTGGGATTACAGGCAGCAGCCACTGAGATGAGGTTTCACCATGTTGCCCAGGCTGGTCTCAAACTCCTGAGCTCAGGCAGTCTGCCTGCCTCGCCCTCCCTAAGTGCTAGGTTTACAGGCGTGAGCCATGATGCCCAGCCAAGTTCTCCAAAAGAAATATTTTGATTGAACTGGCTGGATTTGACTACCTTGAATATTCTGGAGTATCTCAAGACAGTATGGTCAGCTGAATATTGTTACAAGTTTGATTTCCATATGCCTCTTATTCTCATGTTGAGTGATGGGAATGGTAGAAGAAGCTTCTTGTTCTTCAGTGTACTTGTATTCATTCACATATTACCCAGATTTGACCCTTTGTCTCATGGAATGTTGAGCGATGTGATGTAAAAGAAGAAAGATGAGTTTTTCTCATAAAAAATTGATGGTTTTAAAATGGAATTTTTTCATACAGTGCTTCCCTTTTCCAGCTTACTCTGGATCCTGCCAATGGAAAGCAGTATGATTGAGGTGATCACTCAGTGATCTTTCTATGGTGAAAGTGTAGAAATAATTTTCATGTGTTCATAATGCTGATTAATTTCTGAGAGAGTGTGGCCAAAGAGAGTTCTGATAACAAATTCATAGATTAAATCTCTGGAGATCACAGAATTATCGTGAACATCTTATGACTTGAGTATAGTTGCCCAGTGCTGTCAGTCTCACCGATTCTCCTTTACACATATGTGGAATGTTTTAGGACCCAGTGACCTTTGAGGATGTGGCTGTGAACTTCACCCAGGAGGAGTGGGCTTTGCTGGATCCTTCACAGAAAAAACTCTACAGAGATGTGATGTGGGAAACCTTCAGGAACCTGGCCTCTATAGGTAAAAATGAAATAATTCCATCATGTTCTTGAATGAATTAGAGAATCCCTTTTTTTTAGGTATCAATGCTTTTCCAAGATGTGGAATGTGAAAAGGCAGTACTTTTGTAAATAAATCAGACACGGTCACACATAGACCTAGAATCTAATAATTTTTCTGTAATTTCTAATAATTTATGATAATTTTTCTGGTTCTGCATTTCAGGAAAACAAAAAGAATGGAACATTGACGAGGAATACAAAAACCAGGGGAAAAGTCTCAGGTGAGTCACAGTCACAAAAGAAAGCAGTATTCTAGGAGAAAATCTTAGTATGCTATTAAATTTGATAAATAAGGAAACAAAATGAATAAGCTGAGCCTCAAATGTATCTGTTCTTAGAAAATATTAACCCAGCCAGGTTCAGTGGCTCACACTTATAATCCCAGCACTTTGGGAGGCTGAGGCGGGTGGATCACCTGAGGTCAGGAGTTGGAGACCAGCCTGACCAACATGGAGAAACCCCGTCTCTACTAAAAATACAAAATTAGCTGGGCGTGGTGGTGCATGCCTGTTATCCCACCTACTCAGGAGGGTGAGGCAGGAGGATCGCTTGAACCCGGGAGGTGGAGGTTTTGGTGAGCCAGATTGTGCCATTGCACTCCAGCCTGGGCAACAAGAGCGAAACTCCATTTCAGAATACACACACGCACAAACCCAAAGTGCTTTCCAAAATGTGACGTAGATGTTCAGTGTTTGAAAAATAGTTCACTTGGAAACATTATTAAGACACCCATATGTGAATATCAGTGTTTTCATAATAGCTATGTTTGAGCCCTCTTGCAGAGCCACAGCATTCAATACATTCACTTCTCAAGCAGTTTAGACAGGACAAAAATTCTACACTTCCCCTGAAAGTGGAAAAAAAAAAGTCACTCTAGTATCAATTAATAGAAAATATTTAATAAATGAACTATTAATGTGCTGCTCATTTTTTACAGAAGTCATATGGTAGAGAGACTCTTTGAAAGTAAAGAAGGTAGTCATGGTGGAGAAAGTTTCAGCCAGATTCCAAATCTCAGTCTGAACAAGAAAACACTTTCTGGAGGAAAGCTATGGGAAAGCAGTGTATGTGGAAAAGTCTTGAGCCATCATTCATCCCTTAACAGGCACATTAGATCTTACATAAGATACAAACTGTATAAGTGTCAGGAATACGGAGAGAAGCCCTATAAATGTAAGGAATGTGGGAAACCCTTCAGTTATCTGCAGTCTTTTAAAAAACATAAAAGAACACACAGTGCAGGGATAAGCTACAAATGTAAGGCCTGTGGGAAAGCTTTCAGTTGTCAACGTTCTTTCCAAATACATGGAAGGACTCACACTGGAGATAAACCCTATAAATGTAAAGAATGCGGAAAGGCATTCAGATATTATCAGTCTGCTCAAAGACATGAAAAGGCTCATACTGGAGAGAAACCCTACAAATGTAAGGAATGTGGGAAACCCTTCATTTACCGCCATTCTGCTCGAGCACATGAAAGGAATCACACTGTACAGAAACGCTATGAATGTAAACAATGTGGAAAAACCTACATATCTTCTGTAGGTTTTCAAGCACATGAAAGAACTCACACTGGAGAAAAACCCTATGAATGTCAAAAATGTGGAAAAGTGTTTGTGTATCACAACTCTGCTAAAAGGCATGAAAAGACTCACACTAGAGAGAAACCCTACAAATGTAGGGAATGTGGGAAGGCCTTCAGTTACCACTATACTGCTCAGAAACATGAAAGGAATCACACTGCACAGAAACACTATGAATGTAAACTGTGTGGGAAAACTTACATGTCTCGTTTAGGTTTTAAAGCACATGAAAGTATCCACACTGGAGATAAACCCTTTGAATGTCAAAAATGTGGAAAAGCATTCAGATATTACTACTCAGCTCAAAGACATAAAAGGATTCATACTGGAGAGAAACCCTACAAATGTAAGGAATGTGGGAAAGCCTTTTATTGTTGCAGTTCTGCCAAAAGACATGAAGGGATACACACAGCAACGAAACAGTATGAATGTAAAGAATGTGGGAAAATGTACGTTTCTCTTCTAGGTTTGAGAACACATGAAAGAACCCACACTGGAGAGAAACCCTATGAATGTAAACAGTGTGGTAAAGCCTTCAGTAATTCCAGTTATATTCACATACATGAAAGAATTCATACTGGAGAGAAACCCTATGAATGTAAAGAATGCGGAAAATTCTTCAGTTTTCGTACAGGCTTTCGAGTGCACGTCAGGATACACACTGGAGAGAAACCTTATAAATGTGAGGATTGTGGCAATGCCTTCATTTGGCGCACATCCTTACAATACCACATGAGGAAAGTGCACACTGAATAGAATCTCTATAAATGTAAAATATCAAAAGTTTTTCCATTTTAATGCTTTTCAAAGTCATATGAAAGTTTATACTGGAGGGTAGTTGCATGAATGTAAGTGATACAGGAGAGCCTGATACAGATTAATGCAGGTAATGCTCTAGAAGATTCATGCCATGAAAAAAAATACTACAAATGTACTGTCTTTATCCGTGCCATGTCCTTTTGTTTTCTTCCTAGTTTTTAATATATTTTTATATGTGTGTATATGTATGTGTATGTTTGTAGAGACAGGTAGCATTGTGTTGCCCAGGCTGATGGCCAGTTCCCCTGACCTCAAGTAATCCTCCCACCTCAGCCCCACAAAGTGCTGAGATTTATAGGCATGAGCCACCACACTGGGCCAGGTTGGTTTTTTTTTTTTTTTTTTTTTTGAGATGATGGGTCTCGCCATGTTGCCCAGGCTGGCCTTGAACTTGTAGGCTCATGAGATCTGCCCACCTCAGCCTCCTGAGTAGCTGAGGCTACAGGTGTGTGCTGCCATACCTGGCTTAGTGCCACATTCTTAAAGTGGATCTCTGAACTGTGGGTTCCTACTTATTTTCATAAATGAACACTGAGGTGGGATTATTCTGCAAATACTCCTTAAGAAATAGCCTAGAACTGTAATTGGTAGTGTGTTTTGCTTAAGTCACTTAATAAAATTTTTCCTCTTAATTTTTTTTTTGAGATGGAGTTTTGCTCATTGCTCAGGCTGGAGTGCAGTGGCGCAATCTCAGCTCACTGCAACCTCTGCCTTCCAGGTTCAAGCAATTCTCCTGCCTCAGCCTCCTGAGTAGCTGAGATTACAGGAGGATGCCACCACGCCCAGCTAATTTTTAGTAGAGACGGGGTTTCTCCATGTCCATCAAGCTGGTCTCAAAGTCCTGACCTCGTGTGATCTGCCCACCTTAGCCTCCCAAAGTGCTGGGATTACAGGCATGAGCCACCATGCCTGGCCTTGTCTTAATAGTTGTGTAACGGCTGGGCACAGTGGCTCTCGCCTGTAATCCCAGCACTTTGGGAGGCCGAGGCGGGTGGATCATGAGGTCAAGAGATCGAGACCATCCTGGCCAACATGGTGAAACCCCGTCTCTACTAAATACAAAAAAATTAGCCGGGCATGGTGGCACAAAAAAATTAGCCGGGCTACTTGGGAGTCTGAGACAGGAGAATCGTCTGAACCCAGGAGGCGGAGGTTGTGGTGAGCCGAGAATGCGCCATTGCACTCCAGCCCGGGCAACAAGAGCGAAACTCAGTCTCAAAAAAAAAAATAATAATAAAGTTGTGTAACTAAGGAAGGGGCCATTGAACAATGACAGTTTGGTATTGGGAGTTTTCTACTGGCATCCTATGGCAGGTATTGATGTTCCCTTATCCTTTATATATGTTATACCTTAGGAGAAAACCTTTATTCTTTCTGGTTAGAAGAACCTTATTTTACTTCCCTTGCTAGTGAATAGTGGGCCAAGGTTATCATATAATATAGTCTTATATACATTATTTCCATAGTTTGTTCTTTTTCTGGCTAAGATATGGATGACAGACTTTGAATTAAGAAGTAAGATCTGGCCAGGTGCGGTGGCTCATGCCTGTAATCCCAACACTTTGGGAGTCTGAGGTGGGAGGATCACAAGGTCAAGAGATCGAGGCTATCCTGGTCAATATGGTGAAACCCCATCTCTACTAAAAATAGAAAAATTAGCCCGGCCTGGTGGCATGCACCTGTGGTCTCAGCTACTCAGGAGGCTGAGGCGGAAGAATCGCTTGAACCCAGAAGGCGGAGGTTGCAGTGAGCCAAGATTGCGCCACTGCCCTCCAGCCTGGTGACAGAGCAAGACTCCATCTCAAAAAAAAAAGAAGTGAGATCTGTGATAGGACAATAAAATCTAGGTTGGAGATGTCCCTCTGTTATGTCATTATGGGTGACATTAACTAAATTTTCTAGAATCTATTCCCTTTTGGATTCCATGTTGGAATTCAGCAATAGCCTAACCGACATGAAAGTTGGAAGGCAGAACTGAAGAAGGCACTAGTCAGGTTTTGGACCCATCTACATGGAGAAGGACAGACGTGTAGGGACAAATGAAGGCTTGCAGGAAAATTCAAACTGCAAATGGATCTTTGATGTGAAGAATATGGAGACATCTGTGGAACCCTACCCCCTGAGAAAATAGATGTCATGTAGACAGTGGTATTTTAAAGAAACTCTTGATTGTCAGGGCAAAGTATCAGGAAAACAGGCCGGAAGCCAGTGTCCATGCAGTCCCCTTGCAGTCATAAGTTCTGCCTTCCACCTTTCATGTCATTAGGCTGTTGGTGAATCCTAACATGGAAACAAAAAGAGAATGGATTCTAGAAAGTTTAGTTAGCAGCATTCCCATATCAGCATAACACAGCCCACCAGGCAGCTAATTCAAACTGTCATGGTTGAGGGTATTTTCTGTTGTTCTGACTCCTCTAATCTCTAGATTATATTCAAATAAGGTCTAATTTGCTTTGTAAACACCTAACTCTGTTAATACTGGTAAAAACTGTGTTCCTGATTTCCCTGTGACAGCTACAGTGACACAGTCACATAGAACCACATGGGGACTTGTTCCTCTGTTACATTGTGCAGTAACTGCTCTGACACAGTCTATGTGAGAACAAGTGTCTTATGTAAGGCAGAATGGGAGAATTTCCAGTTACAGTCGAATATGATTGTGTACACATTCTCATTTATGTGTGTACGTGATTAAAAAGCAATGCATTTTATCAAACAGCTTCTGCAGGTGTTTCTTTGAAATATTTTTTTAACTTTTAAAACAACTTGTATACTAATATTAATATTTTCCATTACATGAGAATATATATTAAAATATTCCACTGCAATTATGCATTTTCAGGTCAACTTTGTAATTTTTGTCAGGGGATTACACATCCTTAATAATGAGTCAGTATTACCATTTGCATTTAAGCTTTTTTTTTGTTTTTTTGTTTGAGACAAAGTTTTGCTCTTGTGCCTATCTGGAGTGCAGTGACACAATCTTGGCTCACCACAACCTTCACCTCCTGGGTTCAAGCAATCTCGTGCCTCAGTTTCCCAAGTAGCTGAGATTATAGGCATGCACTACCATGCCCGGCTAATTTTTTGTGTTTTTAGTAGAGGTGGTGTTTTTCCATGTTGGTCGGGCTGGTCTTGAACTCCCGACCTTAGGTGATCCGCCTGCCTTGGCCTCCCAAAGTGCTGGGATTACAGGCATGAGCCACCGTGCCCTGCCAAGTACTTTTTTTCTTTAAAAAACTGTTAAAGAAAATTTAAAGGAAATTTTTATTTTTTAATTCTTACATGGGCATAATTTTTCTTATGAAACTAATTTCGCATTTATAATAGCACAAAAACAAAGCATGTTTTGAGCCATCTTGCCAAAGACCACTAGAGTCACACAGTCAAAGAATGGCACGTAAAGAGTTACTGCAATAAGGATGAACACAAAGCATAAGTGACTGAGGGTCGTCAGTAAGAGGCTGCTCAAGAGGACTCAGAGGGTTTCTCTGTCTTTTAGGTGACTTAATTGCTGTTCAACAAAGTGAGCTGTTTGTGTTGGATGCTGTGAGGTGAACTCACTTCCATCCTTGGAAATTCTAATCGTTCTTATCTAGGAGGCAGAATTAGGGTGCTAACCCTAATTCATAAGAAGCATAAGTCATATTAGAAGAGATTTCTAGTCACTCTTAGGGTTTGGAGTCTGTGTCTTTCAGGTCACAGAATTCCATTTTGATCCATCTGGTCGCCTGGTGGCTTTGTGTGATACGGTATGTTACAGTTTTCCGCAGGGTAGGACTTGGCCTTCTGCTGAGTTGGGGAGCAGCTGTCACTGGAACAGCGTCTGCTTTTCTCATTGTCTAAACACGGAAGTATTTCCTACGGTATAATGGACACTGTTATCTATAAAGTACCTCAGTTAAATTGTTGACCAAAATTAAGTCTGCTGAGTCCGAAATAATTTGATAAAGGTTTATCATAGCCAAATGTGAGGATCAGCCTGGGAAGATACCAGCAAAGTTGGGTATCTTCTAAAGTCTGTTTGTTACAAGTTGGAATGCTCTTATAAGAAAGTTTAGGAGGCCAGGTGCCGTGGCTCATGCCTATAATTCCAGGTACTTGGGAGGATTTCTGGAGGCCAGGAATTTGGGGACGAACCTGGGCAACATAAGGAGAATTCATGTCTAAATAAATAAAAAAATAAATTATAAGCTGGGCATAGTGTTGCCCAATGTAGTCCCAGTACTCAGAAGTGTGTCCGGAAGATTGTTTGAATCCAGGAGTTCAACACCAACCTGGCAACATAATGAGAACCCCCATCTCAAAAAAACTAAACAGTTAAGAAAAATAGACTGATGTCTGTAAGGGGTAAAAATAAGAAAAAGTAAATTTTAAAAACCCTGGTCATTTTTTTCAAAGACATACAGATGGCCTGAAGGCATATGAAAAGAGACTTAGTATCACTAAGCATTAGAGAAATTCAAATCAAAACCACAGTTACATGTTACCTCATACATGGAAGGATGGGTATTGAGAGATTAGTGTTGGTGAGAGGATGGAGAAAAAGGAAGCTTTGTACACTGCTGCAGAAGTGGACATTGGTACCTCCTTGTGAAAAACAATATAGAGGTTCCTCAAAAAAATTGAGAAGAACTACCATATGATCCAACAGTGTCATTCCTGGGTATATGTGTATATGCACAAAGGCAGTAATCAGTATTTCAGTATTATTTACAGTAGTCAACATACGGAAACAAACTTAGCATCCATCAGTGGATGAATAAAGAAATGTGATGTGTATTTAAACAATGGAGTATTAGCCAGAAAAAAGAAGGGAATCCTGATATGTTACAACATGAATAAACCTGGTGGACACTATAAGATAAGGCAGACATAGGAAAATACTGCATGATCGCACTTAATCGTGGAATCTTAAAAACTCAAACTCAGAGGCAAAGGGAGGAACGGTGGTTACTAGAGGCCAGAGGGCAGGGAAGGTGGAGAAATGTTGGTCAAAGGTTAAAAACCAAGTTGTAAGGTGAACAAGTTCTGGAGATTGAATATATAGCATGGGTGGTCATCAATGTTTATACTTCATTTGACTGTGGTAACCATTACAGAATGTATATGTACATCAAACATAACATTGTACGTCACGAATATATACAATCTTTGTCAAGTATTTTAAAATAAAAAAATGTTTACTGAATCTACACCTGTGGATCTTTGAATTACTGAGAAGTGTTAAAGTCTTCAGGTAATTGTGAATTTGTCTGTCTCACCTTGCAGTTGTGTGTCCTTGCATGACATATTTTGACAGTATGTTAGGTGCATGTATTTGAAATTACGTCATTTCTATTGCTAGGTCTTCAGTTTCACTTATCTTTTCTTCCTGAAATGTCTGGTTATTCAATCCAGTGGTTATTTTATACCGGCGTTGTCCTTTTCCTCTCTAGTGCTCAAATTGTGTCTTCATTATTAATTTTCTCTCTTTCAGACAGGATCTGTCCCTGTCACCCAGGCTGGAATTAAATGGTGGTGGTATCTTGGCTCCCTAAAACTGCCACCGCCCAAGCAAATGATCCTCCTGAATAGCTGGGACTGCATAGTGTGTACTACCATGCCCAGCTAATTTTTTTTGTAGAGACAAGGTCTCACTATATTGCCCAGGTTGGTTCCTTGGGCTCAAGGGATATTCCTGCCTTGGCCTCTGAAAGTGCTGGGATTACAGGCATGAGCCACCATGCCTGGCCAGTTTTTAATTTTTTTAAGGTTAAATAGAGTAATAAAACATTTACCATTTTAAGTATGCCATATGCCATTCAGTAGCATTAAATACATTAACGTTTTTTTTTTGAGATGGAGTTTCACTTTGTTGCCAGGCTGGAGTGCAGTGGCATGATCTCGGTTCACTGCAGCCTCTGCCTCCTGGGTTCAAGCGATTCTCCTGCATCAGCCTCCCTAGTAGCTGGCACTGCAGGCATACACCACCATGCCCAGCTAACTTTTGTATTTTTAGTAGTAGAGACCGGGTTTCACCATGTTGGCCAGGATGGTCTCGATCTCTTGACTTTGTGATCTGCCCACCTCAGCCTTCCAAAGTGCTGGGATTACAGGCGTGAGCCACCAGGCCTGGCCACATTAAAAGTTCTTTAGAACCATCATAGCGAGCTAGCTCCAGAATTTTTTCATTATTCCAAAGAAAATTGTACCCATTAAACAACCATTCCCCACATTCCCCCATCCTTTGGTAATATTTATTTTCCTTTCTTGCTCTGTGAATTTGCCGATTTTAGGTGCCTCATGTAAGTGGAAGCATACAGTATTTGTCCTTATGTGTCTGACTTACTTCATTTAGCATGTTTTCAAGGTTCATCCATATGTTAGCATGTTCCAGTAATTCATTGGTTTTGTGCCTGAATGATACTCCAGAGTGTGGTATATGGATACACCACACTTTGTTTATCCATCCATGTGTTGAGCACTTGGGTTGTTTCCACAAAACTCTTTGGACTTCTTTGAATAATGCTGCCTTAAAATTGGCATATTTGTCTTGAGTCCCTGCTTTCCATTGATTGATTTATTGATTGAGATGGAGTCTCGCTGTGTTACCTAGGCTGGAGTGCAGTGGTGTGATCTCGGCTCACTGCAGCCTCCACCTCCTGGGTTCAAGCGAGTCTCCTGTCTCAGCCTCCAGAGTGGCTGGGATTACAAGTGCCTGCCACCATGCCCAGCTAATTTTTGTATTTTTAGTAGAGATGGGGTTTCACCATTGGCCAGGCTTGTCTTGAACTCCTGACCTCAGGTGATCTACGTGCCTTGGCCTCCACACACCACTGCACTCCAGCCTGGGTAACAGAGTCAGATTCCCTCTAAAAAAAAAAAAAAAGTCTGTGAAGGTCAGGTTTACAGAAAGACTTGTTTGGGTTGTCTTCTGGAGAAAGGGTTTATGATTTTGACAGTTTATTTAGATTAGTACCTTAAGCTGATTCCGGGTGAGAGTTTCCTGCTGATGAAAATTAAGTTCCTGAAGGAGGGAGCATTTCCACACTGTGAGGAGGGGATAGGAACTCATGGATTGATCCCCTTTGGGGCTGCATTACTGCAGTCAGAACCTGGCTCTTAAGGTTGGGAATATGATTCATTTTCTGCATGCAGCTTTTCCTTGTGAAGGAGGCTGGTTACCTGAGCTAGTTCAAGTGTTTGCTGTTGTTTCCTTTTTATTACTTTTATTTATTCATTTTTAGACAAAGTCTCACTTTGCTGCCCAGGCTGGAGTGCAGTGGCTCGATCTTGGCTCATCGCAACCTCCGCATCCTGAGTTCAAGTGATTCTCCTGCCTCGACCTCCCGAGTAGCTGGCATTACAGGGACGTGCCGCCATACCCAGCTAGTTTTTGTATTTTTAGTAGAGATGAGGTTTCACCATGTTGGCCAGACCGGTCTCAAACTCCTGACCTCAGGTGATCCGCCTACCTTGACCTCCCAAAGTGCTGAGATTATAGGCATGAGCCATCGCACCCAGCCCCTTTTGATTTCTTTACACGATATTGCTGTAATATAAATCTTTTTTCCATGCACTTAATTTTTGTTCCCTTCTTGGCATGTTTTTATTTTCTTCCCTGAAAATGGGTAGAGTGAGATAAGGTGTGAGGAGGCCTTGGCCATGCCACCAGCAGCCTATCCCAAATTCCCGATCCTTGGAAGACATCCGGGCCCTCCCTCCTGTTCCAGCCAGAAGCTTCCAGCAAGGGTATTGCTCCATTGGACACGGAGTGTGGAATTCCCTGCTCACACTTGTGAACCCCTGTCCAGGAGGAAGAAACAGGGCCCAGTGAGTATAGGAAGATGCCAGTACCCACTGGGAAAAGCCCGGAGTCAAGTTTTGCTTGAATGCAAATGTCCCCAGGTCCCGTTTATGCTCCAGGAGGAAGCCTGGCCTGGGTTGCTGGGAGGGCTGTTGCTAGAACCTGTCAATCTAGCTTCGCATTTGTGCGTTTTCTGTGGCTTCTGACACCCAGGGCTTAGGGGGTGGGGCCTGATCGCTAAACTAGGGGTGCTGGGCGGGGTCATGGAAATCATCCAATCAGGCGTTCCGCCAGGAGGGTGAGGCCAAGCTCCCCAAGTCAAGGGGGCTCTTGTTCCTCCATCCACTGAAATCAGCGTTCCAGAGGCCGAGGTGGCTCCACCACAGCTTCTGTCCGGTGGTGACCAGCACTGACCCCCAGAGCCAAGGGAAGACCTGGTATACCTGGGAGTCGGGAAATGGTGAGTGTGCAAGGCCCGGTGGGAGGAGGGGCTGGTTGGGACCTCCCAGCAGCCATTCCGGGGTCTGCAGATCTGAGTCTCCATGGCACAGCTCGACCCTCAGTCCCCTCAGCCACAGGGTGGGGCTGGGCCGGCAGCCGGGACCCTGGGCATCCTGTCCAGTCCCTGTGCGGCGACTGCGGCCCTGGTCCGGAGCCCTCTCGGCAGCGCAGTGCCACAGCCGCGCATCTCCCCACGTTGTGCAGGGGCCACGGAAGGGTCATGGCGAGGATTCAGACTCGTGGGTGAGGTTCTCCTGGGAGGAGCTGCGGTCTGGGGGGTTCCCAATCCCCCCTTTCACCTGTTAAAATTAAACTGAAGCACTGTTAAATATTTAATAATTTATTTAACCAACAGCGATTCATGAATAACCCAACAATGGCTTGTTCTCTGGAGTCCCATGAGGAAGGAGGGCATATTAAATATTTGGTAATGAGTCGCCTTGTTTGGTCTGTCAACCAAAGGTTAAAAAACAGGCGTTTTATTCTGAGTCACGTTTAAGGAAGATAGCCTGGAATGCAGACCCAGCACAAACCGAGAATGTGCCCTACGTGGGCTATTCTCGGAGTGGGCTACGTTAAGTATTAATACCTTGTGTTACACAGAAAATGGGAGAGTCGGGCAGTGACCTTATACATAAGATAAAGCAATCAGTACACAGGCATCTTAGGGTTTAGAGAGGGATGACTGGGCCTAGCCTACCTTTGTACTTCATCTGATAGGCAAGGGTTGTAATCAGTATAGGTCAGTGAGTTATTTGACCTGCCGGCTGAGAGTTCAACTTTGGCTCATGGGCCTGGTTTCTATTATCTGTATGTCCAACCTGCAGCCATCTTAGGCCACTCTTTAAAAACAATTTTCTTTCAGTTTTTCCTTTTTCTGACAGGTCTATCCAGGTGGAAATGTTCTGGTTATGTAGTAGGAGGCTAAATTTCATTTTCTTATAAATTGGTAATTTACAAGATGCATTTGTGTTAGATTTTGGTGTCCATGGTAGGAAATCAGGGCACTACAGCCACACCAGTCTAATTGCCTCTTACTTATTTTGTAGTTTTATATATTTTTTTGACCCAAGTCTAAAAGTTTATTTATGTTTCATAAATAAAACATATAGCCTGAAGGTAATTCTATATAATATTTTACATCATTTTGTTCATGAGATAAAGTTTATGTTAGGTATTTATGTGTAGAATTTTTTTTATTGCATTTTAGGTTTTGGGGTACATGTGAAGAACATGCAAGACTGTTGCATAGGTAAACACATGGCAGTGTGATGTGCTGCCTTCCTCCCCATCACCTATATCTGGCATTTCTCCCCATGCTATCTCTCCCCAACTCCCCCCCCCCGTTATTTTTTTTTTTTTTTTTTTTTTTTTTTTTTTTTTGAGACAGTCTCTCACTCTGTCACCCAGGCTGGAGTGCAATGGTGCGATCTCAGCTCACTGCAACCTCTGCCTCCCAGATTCAAGTGATTCTCCTGCCTCAGCCTCCCGAGTAGCTGAGACTACAGGCATGTGCCACTACGCCTGGCTAATTTTTGTATTTTTTAGAGATGGGGCTTCACCATGTTAGGATGGTCCTGATCTCCTGACCTCATGATCTGCCCACCTCGGCCACCCAAAGTGCTGGTATTACAGGCGTGAGCCACCACGCCGGTGGCCTCTTACTGATTTTAACACTCCCCAGCAGAACTGATTTTCCAAATGTGTGGGACGTAGGGTCAAATCCACAATTCTGTTTGCCGACCTTCACCCTTCCATGGTTTGTATGAATTCTTGCATTTCTAATTCTTTCCCAACATTCCCAAGTGCCAACTTTCCTTCAATTCAAAATATTATCAACTATTTGTCTCTTATTGTACATTTCAAACAGATGCAGTACTTTGTAATTTTTTCACAGAGCA